AGATTCACCCCATCCCTAAGCCACCTAAGAAAGATGTGCTCAGTACTGTTTTCTAAACGTATGCCCTTCTTCTACAGCAGGAAAATTTAAAAAGATTAGTTAATAGTTAAGATTTTTCACATTTTACTTTTTTTTTTTTTCCACATTTTACTTTCTACAGTTTAATTTAGTTGACTCTCCTCATTGCTCCTGTAATCTTGCCTTTACCCTGAAGTCTCACGCGGGCATTTACAGCACAGTCAGTTCCACCTTGTACTGTACTCTCTTAGCTATTTCCACTGTTTATCTCCTGCACTGACTAGAAAAAGGGCTTCACTGGGAAGTTTACTCATTGGGTTCCCTACAGTGCTCAACAAGACAGATGCTGAACAAATGATTATTGCATTAATGTGGGGTTTTTTCTTTCTGTAATTCAGTATGGATAATAATGGCAAAGATTTAGGAGCCCACATGATCACCATTTTATTTTCAAATTTTTATTTACACGGAATCTTCAGCATATTTCCTTTAATTTTGTCATAAGATAAAATCTCAAGCTTTAAAATCACGTATTTTGTCACAAAATTGTTCCTCAATGGAGGAAGATGTTTCAATTCTACGAACACTGATATTTATAATATTCATGTTTACAGAAACTATATACACACAACATGGCATCATTCAAATATACAAAATAGTTTATATCATATATTGTTTTTGAAATTCAGACTGATGAGAACACTTAGGAACAGTAAGACCAACAACACTTAGAAAAAACAGCAGGAAGTGTCATAATAGCCATGCAGTGTGTCTAATAAGCTTCAGATAGGACAAACACTATACATGTCAAATCCCCAAATTTAAAGATGTGACCAGTCCATTCAATTCATGCTAGACTGTAAATGTAACTCTATAGTTCATAGGCATTTGTGGTAACCTATCCAGCGGGAACAGAAACTATGAGGATATATTTAACAGATTTTGTAATTCCCAGGAGACTAACATTTGGAAACTTCTAAAGAAGCAAATCCAGCATTCCCCCCCAAAATTAGTTCCTGTGAATATATTCATAAAGACCAAATGAAGAAAATAAAAATAACCCAGATATTATGAGTTAATTTTACTTGCTCAAATTTAATTCCATAGACAGCCCTTGAAACAAAGAGTTTCACTGGGATATTTTTATTTTCTCCTGATTTAGTGAGGAAAACATATTTAGTATCTCCCTGTTCCATGGAGGATTTACAGTTGCCGAGCAGGTAAGATTCAGAAAATATCAGAAAGCACAATTACAGGTTACACAAAAAGCAGAGAAGACTGAGGAAAGAGCACGCGCGCGCACACACACACACACACACACACACACACACACATTTAAGGAAAGGTCAGGAAATAACAAACTAAAGCATTATTATTCCCTCCCAGTGACTTCCTGGACACACTGCACATTACACCACTGGTAAGAAAATTGTAAAAGTACTAGCAAAATGGAGAATAGATTTCTTCAAGTGTTTGATAACTCTGAGCACATGATTCTCAAAAGGTGTGTGCTTTTTTCTTTGTGCTTCAGTGTTGAAAAGTTTTGAAATCTAATGTGATTGGTCTCCGGCTATCATTGGTGTAGGTTAAAAAACAATTGGGGTTCTGACTCAGCTATCACTGTGAAATACATGTGGCCATCCACAGCTACTTGCTGATGCGCGGGCGCCGCGAGCTCAGGTGCTACACGGCTGAAGCGCAGGCAGTGCACACAGGCTGGCATGCTGAGGCCCCAGTCCCCCAGTTGCCTGGAGCTGCAGTGGCCTCTCGTCCTGGACTCCTGGGCTCAAAAATGGGGCTCCTGGGAGGATCCCAGGGTAGCATTAAGGGAAACAGGCCTGGGTCTGTTCTGTCTCAGGCTTGCAGTGTTCTGAAAGGCTTTTTTTTGGTAATACTAGGGCTTACACCCGGGCCTTTACACTGAACTATGTCTTCAGCTCTTTCTGATTTATTTTGACACAGCATTTCACAATTTGCTGAACTGCTCAAGCTGCCTATGAACTTGCAGCCCTCCGCCTCCCACGTACTGGCATGATATAGGTGTATACCATCATGCCAGGCACAAATTTCTTTTAACTTCCTGAGAAAAATAGGGAACTTCAGCACTTGAGAGGCTGAGGAAGAAGGATCACTGTCAGCTCAAGGGCAGGTTGGGCTACACCGAAATTGCAAGAGCAGTCTGAATTACACAGGGAGGCCCTATTTAAAAAAAATTTAGTGATTTCAAGCTAAATAATGGAACGACGGAGTCTGAATCTGATACTGCTGGTATCATAGCACCAACTTTTCTTTTCTTAAATGTTACTTTGGCTTGGGTGTGTGGCACACACCTATAATGCAGTCTGGAAGACTGAGGCAAGGGGACAGATTAAGCTCAGTGTGGGAAACATAAAAAATCAGAGGGATCTCATTTCAGCATAAAAATTGCTAGGGATACAAAACAAAATACCAGGATTAAGGGGCTTGGAAATTTTCCAGTCCTTTTTCTTATATGCAAACATTACCAGAGGTAGGTTTTCCTCTACAAGCTGCCTTCCTGTCTTGTGCCCCCACACCCTCACGGTTCTGACTCCCTCCTGCTGCACCAGGCCCCCACTCCAAGGACATGCAGCAACTCCAGGCCAGCAGTGCCAGAAGAATGGGCACCTACCGCTGCAAAACTGGGTTAAAGAAACTGATGAGGAAGAAGGTTAAAGAACTGAAATGGGAAGTAGGGGCTAGAACAAGTGAAAGAAAAACAGTAAATTTTCAAGTTCTACAATGATACTGTCCATAAAAGTCTAGGCATCACATCCTTGTATGTGAGAAACCCAAACAGTAAATCTGGAGCAAAATGGAGAGAAACAGAAAGCAGCTGTTCAAGTGGGAAGGGGTCCAATGGAAGGCATGGTGGAAGGGAGAGAAGAAAAGAAAGAGATAGAAGCTTTGTAAATGGAGACTGGAAGGGATGAAGGGAGTGGAGGGGATAGGAGAGAAGAACCAAGACACATGGCATACAGGTACACATTCCCTATGATGAAGGTGACCAGTATGTACAGCAAACATGCACTAACAAAAAATACAAAGTTAAAGTCAAACAAAAATAAAACAGAGTAATACTGTTAAAGGGTGGCAGGGGGTTAATCAATGTGTAAATTATAGCTCCTACTATATAGCAAGATCAATACTCTGTAAGTTTCTGCATTGTAAAGTACTTCACAATTGCACTCTGGTCAGAAAATCACACTAAGGAAATATTATTTAAAATTCAGGCTCCCAAAGCCTTCAATTCTGGCAGTTACCATCTTTGAGTTCCTCGAAGTATGGCTTCATAACCTAAGGAACACATAGATGACCACCGGCATGGAGGAGGCCCTAAGGTGAGAAATGAACTTTCAACAATGTCTATCAGCCAAATTCATTTGTCTTATAGGGAAATACAGTATTAACCCAAAAAGTATCCGCATCTAGTGTGTGTTCCCTAAGGCATGGACAATCAAAAGGAAGTGCAAAATTAGTACCTTTCAGAGTGTCAGAGGGCCAGGGAGATGGTTCAGTAGAATAAGCGCTTGCCTAGCAAGTGCAAGGGCCTGAGTTCAATCCCCAGTTCCGCCAAAAAAAAAAAAAAAAAAAAAAAAAAAAAAAAAGTGTCACAGACCTGTATGTGGAAGGTAACACCAAGTTACAAAATTCAGACACCTGAATTCCAGTGGATGAGACTAGGGTCCAGGAAGGTAACACCATCTGTCCAAGGTTACATAGCAGAGCTGGTAAATGAATCAGGGCAACAGTGCAGGCCTACATCTCTCATATAGTAGACCCTTGACTTTTGAACTCAAATTGTTCCTGAGGGCTGGGTGTAACCCAAGTTGTCAACTGAAGGCTTGGGCTCCTGTACATGGCCTTCAAAGTCTCTCCTGTACACAGGCAGATCTCTGTGTCCTTAGAGAGACTCTTGGCCCAGGATTTTTCAATTAACCCTGATAGGAAAGAATGTTGTAATCTTCTTTCCAGAACTCTTTAAAGGTTAAATCTCTAGCTAAGACCACCTGGAAGCATACATGGCTGGCACATAACTCAAGACTTCAGTTGTAAGTTACGACTAAAATTCTGGTCATAACCCAAGTTGTTTGTATGTCAGGCCAGTTGTAACTCAAGGAACCACTGTATCCCCAGCTCTCAAAGCTATTATCTTATGAGTCATACTTCATTGTTTATCCTAGCTGCACACAAAGTAGAAAAACTTTTTAAAAACGTGCCATTTTTTGTGTTGTGCTATCTAGAAGTACACAAATTCCAGATCAGTAGGCTAGCGAACAGAATGAACCCTAACAATTTACACCTAGAAAAATACTGGGAATTTACTTTAGAACTCAGTTACACAAAACAATCCAGGCCCAGAGAAGGCAAACTGTATCACCCAAAACTACAATATTGAGATCTGGATCACCTAAAAACGGAAAGCTGTTCCACTCAATAGTGCCTTATTCTTTTGGGTACTCATAAAAAAAAGCAAAAATGTTCAATCACATCTACTTTTAGATATATAGTGAATCTGTCGTAATAAAAACGCTGGGCCAATGGTTCTGGAATTGGTTCTCTGGTTAATAAAAAGCTAATAGCATGACTGCTTGTTTACATTTGAAAGTATACTTAAATAGAGATCATGATACTGAATTTCAAGTTTTTGAAGCAAACAGTCAGTGTCTCAGGCCAAAGAACGTAACTACATTCTACTGCTCGTAATTCTCGCATCAGCAGTCTACATCCTGTCAAGCCTAACACCTGATAACGGCTTTGACATTTGTAAAACGTTACAAAACAACGATTGCAACAGAAATTCCTCCTGGCTGAAGTTCCTTATCACTTACTAAGTACTATTCTGACATAAGCACACTCTAAGTCTTTTTGGATGTAAAAAGGAGTCTTTTTTCAAGCTTTATTATACTTTGACCCTTTCTCCTGGTGTTAAGATGAGGGGGCCACTAGTGTGTGCATAAATTTTATCACACACTAATTTAAGTGGGTATACAGTTGGATCTACTTTATACATATGAATACATAATAAAATTACAGTAAATATCTACAATCAAAAACTGGTAATTTCTCTTTTTTAGGTCTCTTCTCTACCAAAACGTTCCCCATGGCCCATACAGCATGCTGCTATATTTATTAATCAGTAGTTCTCAATCATGTTCTCTCAGTGACATATCTCATTCGCATCCCCAAATAACAAATGTACAAATCTTACTAGAACATATAGAAGTACTTCTAATGATATGAGACAATAGAAAATAATAAATCACAAGTCTAGGAATAAGTGAAAATTAAACATTCCACTTATCAATCTGAATAAAACAATACAGCAGACCATCTGTGTACATTTTCACAGTTTACTACATTACTCAATGAAAGTCAGGAAGGCTGCGGTGGGCCCTGGTTCCCCTAACATCGGTGGCCATGACGTGAGAACCAGCCAAGCCAGGTGTGGTGGTCACGCCTGTGACCACAGCATTCTACACGCTCTAGCCCAACCTCGGCAATTTAGTGAAGTCGGGCCACTGATAAACAATAATTTCAATGTCCAAATTTGAAAGCAGGACCTAAATCATGTCAAGATTAAAATGTCTTACATTAAAATAAAATAATTACATTAACAATTCCTTCGTACAATTCTCTTCAGTCACTCCATCTTCTTGCTTGTTTTTGTAACTGGAAAGGAACAGATTTTCTATGCGAGTCAAAAATTCCTCAGCAATGAAGCAATTGGTAACTCTGCCCAGAGTTTTCTTCAGGCACTCCAAAAGCTAGCAGGGAAAAAAGTTTTATATTTAAACACAAGAACGGTGCATGAGGGTTTGTGTAACTTCATTATTAAATCTCTTTCCAAACTTTGCACTTCTTAGTGATCAAATGAGAACATTCTCTATAAATGGGTTTGAAGACTGACCTGTCATCAAACATAGGATGGATTACTGCAAACCAGTGTTGAGAAACATTCAGTTTAGTCCCTTTACAACTTAATTTTACATAAGGAGACAAACCCGGGGTGTACATGTGATGCTGTCCACTCTGGACAGATCGGTGACTCTGCTCCTTTTTTAGCAATTATACTTGGCAGAGCAGATTAGGGAGTTTACATAAAAACCTTGGGACTCAACTGAAGATGGTAATCTGTAATAGTAGTTTCATGCTTGGGGTGCCTGTCATTCTGGTCTTCTGAATACGGGCTGCTTGTCATGACATGCCAGTTGCTGCTGTGCTGTCTCTTGGATAGATGATTGCTCAAAAAGAAGGGGGTGGTGAATGAAGGCAAGAGATAGGAAAAGGAATATCGTGAGACTGTCCTACTTCAAGGTTGTATATGGTTAGATTTTTGAACTTATGTGTAAACATAAGAAGTATATAATTCTTTATGCCTATTTTAAAAAATATATTCTAATTTTTAAATGTTTTTTCATCATATTCTGTAGGAACTTAAAGTTCAACATATCAATACTTGATGAAAAATACCTGTTCCATGTTATACCTAAGATGTTTGATATTTAGATAGATAGTGAAGTTAAGCTTAACAGCCTAGGTTGTATGGTAATAACAATAAGCTTGTCTTCTGGAGGGTTAACAACCTAAGCTTGCGGACCAAAATTAGAGAAAAAGGAGGGCCGCAAGGAAAGCCAACATTTTGGCTCTAGCCTTCCAAGGTCAATTAAGACTCAGGACACATGAGAACTTGTACTGTAACGTCATGTAACTCGGCAGTGTCCCAAATTTTCTGATCAAGGAAATTATGGGGCCAAAGAGGAAAGTGATCAATGATGTAGAGTGTGCCTAAGGAGAGTCACAGGAGAGAAAACATTCTCTCAGGCTTTCACGGAAAGCACACTGGCCAAGCAATGGCCGTGACTCATCCACATGGCTGACACTGACAAAGGTTCTACAATCTGAGGTACAGGATCTCAGGATAAATCCTGAGGGAATTTCATTGACCTTATCAGACCCAAAAGCTACAACTCTTGTTGCATAGGTCCTGCTTTACCTTGGTCTTAACCACCCAGCAGAAAAGTATAAAAACGAAATATAAGAAGTAAAGCCATGGTGTTATGTTGAGCTGTAGGGGACTCAGGTCAACAATTTCTGACACTGCCAGTCAAGCAGAAGACCCAATACTATTATGGGCTACTGGCCTCTTTTAGAATATTTTGTTGAGTTTACACACCTATAATATTCAAATAACGGAACTTAACAAAAAAAGGGGACACAGATGAATGTCCATTTTGTATATGTGTATTCAAAATGGTTAGGATAGATATATAGTTACATTCTCTTAATGAATAGAGGGATTTGCTCTAATGGTGTTTGTAAATAGGATATCATGTCTGCATCTTGTACAGCAATTGACCACTGGGAAGAGTGTGTGCAATGTGTTAATTATTGAAACTGTCCTACCAATTTGGCTTGAAACTGTCTCATTGCTATTTGTTTCTCAATAAAATTATGGAAAAAAAAAACAACAAAAAACTTGGCACTCAAAATGTAATGTAGTGCCTCATTTATGTATATAAAAGATGGGCTTAAGGCCATCAAATGAGGAAAGGAAAAAAAAAGAAAGCAGAAAGCTATGTACATAAAAATTTAAGATTCTGCCATTTCAAAGTCAGGATGCTAGTTGTAAAATACATGCAAGTCTTTGAACAGGGTACAAAAAACAGTAAAAAAAAAAAAAATAGTGAAAAGGTACCTAATACATACAGATTTTCCAAAATGCATTCAAAATAAAGATAAATATTGCCAGTCTCCTGATTTCAACTCATTACAGAAGCGTAATAAAAGAATCCTAAGCTGTCACTTCCACCAGAGTTAAACAAAATGACTATTTAAATCTGGTACATTCACACTATCATTCTTAAAAATGATCAATTGTTAAGGCTAAAAGGAAACATGTTGCTTTTGAATTTAATAAAATGAGAAAAATGTTCTCCACTGTGCACAATAATCTGCTATGAAATTTACCAGTCAAATACTGACAAATTTATTCTAAAATATTATATTCCTATGTGAAGCACTGGCAAGAAAACATATTTCTAATTATGTCCCAGAAATTAATTTTAGAAAGGAAAAGGCAATAAAGGCTCTACACAGAAAATGTATCTGTAGAACGTCAGGCATCATGGGAGAACACGTGATGGCAACAGCTCTGGAGTCAGTGAACAATGGCACTAGTTAAAACTCAGCAGCTTACTTTTTGCAAACAAGTCAGGTCGGAATCCCAGCGAAAGAGTTTATCCATGGGGACACTGCTGCAGGAAGAAGTAGAAAACAAGCTGATGGAGTGAGTACTGTAAAGCAATCAGCATGTAACAAACTATCACTGATGCCATACATCACAATTTTATATTTAACTTGGGTTTTCTCTGAAACATAATTTAATGAGAAACACTGCAGATGTGCAACCATTTCAAACCCTAGCACATACCTACGGGACAGCCTGTATTTTTCTATTATCCATCTTGTCTTTTCAAACACTAATCCCCACTGAGGTTCTTCTAACATCTGTTGTACTTCAAATTTGTAAGGTAAACCTAGAAAAGCATAAGAAAGCACATTTTCAACTATTTGTTAAATCTCAAATCTCCTTTTAATTACTTAAAATTCCCTTCAGTGTTTTTAAAAACCACAGCTAGGAAGATCAGTTGAGCAGCATCTTAAATGTAGTGAGTATTCATTAAATATTTACTGCCTGACTGTACTTGGTTCACCAAGCATACTAATACCAACCTATTAATAATCGTGAAGAAAGATAAAAATGCCACTTTTGTGACAATTCTGTGCAAGGCACTGGGCAAGATACACAGACCATATAATTTATCACCCAAACTCAAGAGACTCTGAATGAATGGGGGCACAGGCTTAAGTTAGGACTGTCATCTCAGAGACATTTTAAAACTCAAGATTATTAAGCAAACAGAACAATGCTATTGGGGAGGCAGCTGTCAAAATTGTATCCAGACACGCCCAAGGGCCACATGCTCCTGGACAGTGCTTCTGGGGAGGATCAGTGATGGAGAGGGCTGCATGGAGCAAGCAACCCTGGTGGAAGAGGCCAGGCAGCGGGTGTGTGACCTGGATCCTCCCTCGTTGCTATGACACTAACAGCTCCTCTGCGATGCCCCTTTGTCATGGCATGCTGCCTTGGACCAGTGGACCGTGGACTGAAAATAGGAACCAAAATAAACCTCTCCCCTTTTAACTTGCAGGTGTTGCGTATTCTGTCCTAGTGTCAAATAAAGTGACTAAGACAGAAACATTATTTCTAGTTTTATAGATGAAAAAACTAAGGCTGAGAGGTTCACAGGTGTTCAGGCTGGTAAAGTGAAGAGCCTGGATCTCAGACGCAGGCAGTCGGCCTCATTCCTAGCCCATATTCTTTCCTTCCCTAAAAGTGTGAGACTAAGGCCAAATGACAACAGGACAAACTCTGGGAAGGCAGCAATTTCATTGAATCAAGTGCTTAAGCAGTACAATGAGAAAAGAAAAATAAAGCACGGACATCATGTATGGAGCTACAAAGAGAAGAATACCACAAGGAACACTACGTTAGCAATCTCTCACACACCATTAACACCCCTGTGTAAACGTATCTGTGGTCTATCAGAAGTTCCCCTGAGTCACTACCAAAGGCCAGCATCATGATACAGCAACACACTAATGCTTATCAAGTGCTGGGGTTTGGGTGCTTTCTATAGCTGAAGTCATTGAAATGAAATCACTACCACTACTGTTCCCATACTTTTGGAGAACAAGGAGCCATGGGAAAGTTACAACTGTTCATGGTCATATATTCAAAAATGATCTTGAAGCCCCAGGTAGTTTGACTTGAAACCAGTACCACACACTGAACACTGGACCTCCATACAGTACTGGAGGCTGAACCCAGGACCTTCACACTTTGAGACTGCTGGGATACAAATGTGCACCATTATGCGCAGATCAGAATCTATGTTCTCAACTTCTGCACTACACTATCTTGTGGAGGACCACCTCACCGACTCTCCTTGAAGGGGGAGAACTGTCTCTATATTGGCTAACTTGACCCTATTTCCATGTAGCTATATATACAGTGCTGGGCAGGACTTTTCCTTATCCCTTCAATTGGCTTTAAGCAATAGGAGGTGCTGATAATGTAGTCTCTGAAGCAAAGAAGAGAGGGCACTATTTCCCTGCCTCCCTGCAGAACTCCCACGTATGAGCCAGGGTGAAGTGGGACAGGCTATGACTTCCCAGGGCATAAAGACTACAACCAACCCCAAAACATTAGCTACCATCTCAGAGGTGCTATGCAGATTACTCTTCCTGCGTATCCTTCTCCTTGCATATTGCAGAGGTGATTTCAGGTCTACAAAGCCCAGCTGACAGCACTTACTTGTTTCCCACCACTCTCATAGCCACTCATTTTCAAGCCACTTCTTTTGTGAGGAATTAACAAAACTCGCGTTTGAATTGGGGTCGAGGCCTTTGTTCCAGATGGCCATCATCACCTTAGGGACTTAGGACCCTTGGGCTCCCCACAACTACAAATATGCTTAAATGTCTTTACCCTTGCTATAGGTTGCACTGGAAGTGGTAGACTGGGATTAACTCACTAGAATTCCAATAACTTTTCCATGGAATTGTAAATATAAACTTCCTGGCCAGAAACAAGGACTAGGAAGGGCTCACTATACTATTTCTCTCAACTGTTTTTGAGAGATTAAGGCTTTTCAAATCACTACAATGCCAGCAAATCAGAAGTCATGGAAATAACAAGGGCAAAAGCAATAAACATTTCTTCACAATATAAATGTAATTTAACTGTCAGTATTCTCTGAAATACACAATACCAGTAGTGCATGTTTTATCTTTTTAGGCATTTGGTAGGAAACAAGAGGACAACAGCCTAATGATGACTTTTTCTCTAATTTCTCAACTCTCCTTTATTTTATCTCAATGCTCCTTTATTATTTTATCCAATTTAATTCTTGCAACCAGAAATCTAAGAAAGACACATTGCAGTACACAAGCTATTAAGCAATTTTTTTTTTCTCGGAACTGGGGATTGAACTCGGGCGCTTGCGCTTGCCAGGGAAGTGCCTATTCCACTGAGCCATCTCCCTGGCCCCTAAGCAAATTTTCTTGGTGGTAACAGTACCTTACCTGATGTACTTTGATCCCCTACCAAACACAGATATCAGCTATAATCATAAGCATCTACCACAAACCAATTTGCTAATAACACTGTACATACAGTAGTGATAATCCTTATAACTACCTCCCTTATAAGCAAGGTGACATTTTTTCCCTTCATTTTACAGAAGTAGCAAAAAAGAACACAGAGGTTAAGTAACTCGTCCAAGGCAAAGTACCTAGTAAATGATACATGTGGGATCCTGGTATAGTTAAGCGACCTCTACCCTTAATTTGAGTTGAAATGGAAATAATGTCAGATAATTAATGTGTTTTTAATCAGAGCTAAAGAAAACACACACACTCTCATACTCACACTCTATGCAGCTCTATTTAGTATATTAAAGTTCTTTTTGAGTTAAAAGAAGGCAGTAAGGCAAACATTTCCCTTGGTGCAAGGTATTTTTATCCACTAAAATATTGAAAAAGCTGATCACCAAATAGTATTTTCTGACTGATACAAGTATAGAAAACAGCCATCAAAAACATGTGAAAGGTAGCCCCTGAGCTGCAGGGTTCTGGAGAATCCTGACTCTTGCACCAGCTTCCAAGAGGCACACAGCAAAGGGCCAAAGACTAAGGATCAAATGCTGACTACAGTACGGATGACGGACAGGTCACTGAGGAGGCCACCCTGCCCAGGAGAGCCAGCTGAGTGCCACAGTGCTGAGTGCCCGTGTACTGCCCAATGCAGGCTCATCCAATGAAGCAGTTCCTTTCCCTGGCGGGGCAGGTTTCTTCTCACACAAGCCTGTATTTGCTAAATGCAGGAAGGGTACATTCTATAAATCTAGAGTCCCTCACAAATTATCTAACTTTTTCTTTGTTCACTGGAACTTAACTGCCTGGATCTGAGTACATTTCTTCTTTTTGCCATACCAGGAAACTCTCAAGAAGCAAAGGATGATCTGAAACCTAGTTCATTTGTTTTCAATCTCTTAGCAATCATCTTCCTTCACTGCCTCTGGTTTTACTCTAAATAGCATTTTTGCATATATTTTTTCCTAGTGTTTTGGTTGTGTTAGAAGGTTGTCACTTCACTGTAGCCAGATGTGGAATTGTGTGCACTGAATATTAAATTTCACTTATTTCAAATCAGTTTGAGCTTAAACAGTCACATGTAACTAGTATCTATGCTATTAGCATCAGGATAAAGGCCCATGACCAAATCTAGCAGACTGTAAGAAATGATCTGTATTGAGATGCTGACTGCAATTCTTCCTTTTGTACAGTTTATAAAATTATACTGAACCAGACAGGTGCGCATCAGGAGTCAAGCTTAAATGGGCACTCTGGATTAAAGCAAATACTTACATTCTCCATTCAGCAAGAACCCCAGCAGGGGTCTCCTCCATCAAACAAGGCAATTAATTAGGTGTTACTGGGACAAAGACAAGACACAGTTCCTGCTCTTTGGGTATTCAGTTTAACAAGACTTCAATGGACAACAAATTATAGTCAAAAACAAAGGTGACTATAAAGGCAGGAAAAGTGCTGCAGATGTATAAAGAATAGAGTAACTAACACTAAGGGACATGGGGGCAGGGCTGGGAAGTCCTTAACAAATACAGGACTTTCTAATGAGGTGATTAAGAATGATGAGAAATTAATTATTAAATATTCTGTACCCATTACACGCCAGACTTTGTGCTAGAAACAGGACAGAAAAATGTAAAATATAGTAATCCTCACAAAAATCTCATAATAGAGAGAAAGATGGGATATACTAACTGCATTGCCAGCATCCAGGGAAAACCCTGACTTGAACTACAATGGAGGGGCAGGGAAGAAAAAAAAAAAAACCAACAAACACCTGAGTAGTGCCTGGTGCTCCTTTCTGTCCATATTCCTTTCTGTCTTCTATTCTACTAATTCTCTAGTCCATAAACTATAAGGTGCAGAGGAACCAAGATGTACAATGGGCTATACTAACCAAATTCTTTAAGACAGAAAGAAAATTAACCAGTATAAAGAATCAGTCATTAGGGCTGGAGAGATAGCTCAGCAGACTAAGCACCTGCTTTGGCAAGTGCACGGACCAGGGTTCAAACCCCAGTCCCACATGCAGCACTGGCCCTGCCCCTGGGGTGCAATGAGTTGAAACTGAGTTAGGGCGTGCTGGTGCACGCCTATAATCCCAGCATTGGGGAGGTTGAAAACAGGAGGATCACTATGAGTCTAAGTCTACAGTAAGACCCTGTACCAAATAAATGAATGAAAATAAACAGTAACTGACTAGCCTAATATCATGGGGAGATGACAGAGAGCTGGGCCACTGTTTCCCTACCATGCCATCACAGAAAAAGTTAGTCTATATTTACAAATATTTCATGAGACAAGGGTCTTTGTTCTTTTAATGACAGTATCTCCAGTGCAGAGCATCATTCTGCTTTTCTCTCCACTTTAGTCCTGCATGGTGGTCATAGCTAAGACCATTATAAGGAGAAGGGAGTTACACCAAGTGGCACAGAGCAATGATTCCCAAGTTGATGGACAAATTTTTCCCTTAGTGTCGCATCGTTGTAAATTTTTATTTCCAAGAATCAAAGAAACAAGGGTAGATACAGTAGGAAGTTGTTACTGTTGAAACTTACGGTAGGAGCCACTTGAGCTAATCTCCTCACTGATGACCAGGCAGGTAATCTGGGAATACGGCAAAGGATTGTTTCGATTATAAGGGCTAATAATTATCCCAATGAATTTTGCACCTCTTCTTGAGAAGTAACTCTATAATGATAAGAAAGGTTTTATTAGTTTCAACTATAAATTTAAGTTAGTACTTACCCACACCAACGTTCTAAATATCTAACAGGGGAAAGGAGAACAAAAAGGTACATCAAGAACTTTGTATCCATGGGCTGGTGAGATGGCTCAGTGGTCTAAAGCACCTACTTAGAACAAGCTTAGCAAAGCACAGGGACCGCGGTTCAATCCCCCAGCACCACATGCCAGCCAATCCCGCCCCTTGGTGGGCTGAGCTGGCCACACACACACACACACACACACACACACAAATAAATACAATTTTAAATAAATAAAAAGAACTTTGTATCCAAATAGCTACTAAATAAAATGGCCTTTGTGTTCACTTCACACTGTAAAAGATTTCAGGCCAAAATGTGTCCAACCCAATCTGAAATGACTCTTTAAAAACTCACTAGCAGGGGGCCAGGGAGATGGCTCAATGGAATAAGTGCTTCCCTGGCAAGCACAAGGGCCTGAGTTCAATCCCCAGTTCCGGAAAAAAAAAAAACCAAACTCACTAGCAGCCAGGTGTGATAGTGCATGCCTATAATTCCAGCACTTAGAAGGCTGGGACAGGAAAATTTCAAGTTCCAGTCTCACTCACATAGGCAACAGAAACTCTGTCTCAAAATAAAAGATCTAGGCCAGGGAGATGGTTAAGTGGAATAAGCACTTTCCTGGCAAGTGCAAGGGCCTGAGTTCAATACCTGGTATGCAAGAAAAAAAAAAAAAAGAAGATCTGTTTCTGGGTTTAATTCTTAGTACCACAAACAAACAAACAAACAAATATCATGTGGCCTGTAAAACTCTACATTTTCCAGGAATGTATATACTAATTATACTGACTACTTTTCAACTATATTCCTAATGCATTAATAACTTACAAATAGTTTTGCCTATAGCAAAAACATGCATCAAACATAAAATTATAGACTAAAACAAATGCTGTTTTTCAAAGGGGAGAAATATATTAATGTTTCCAATTATATCAATGATACTCAGTTCCTACCCTAATTGTTTTGATTAATTTTTAAAGTTTCTAAGGATACTTCCCAAGATTACTTTCAAAGCTTTTCAATACTCTGCAAAATTGCTGATTTTCCAAATGCTTACATACACATAAGACATGCATGGAGGACAGGGGAAGAGAAAGAAGTAGAAAGAATGAAGGTGTGGTATGGACATGTATCAGTGCCCAAGATGAATATGATCATTATTATTAATAAACGCCTTTAATATTAAAAAGAGGAAAAATGTAGTTATTTAAAAACCCGAGATTAAAGGACCATTATAAACACAAGGCTAAAAACATTAGACGTTTATTTAGTGACAGAAATCAGTATTTGTGTTTAGAGAGCATACACAAGGAGACCCACATACCCATAATCATACCTGGTATTTGGCCTGTGTGTCGATATCTCGTAAGGAAGGATTAGGATCAAATGCAGGATGAGAGTGATACCATCCAATTACACTGTACCCTCTGACAGCCAAGGTTTCTGAAGCCTGTGTTTGCGATACAGGATCCATTTCACACTGCAGTCCAGTACTGAGACTGTTGCATGGTTCTGCTGCATAGACCTAAGAAGGATCAATCCTCATGATTATAGGGAAATGCTGTTCATTCTATCACTTACAAATGAAAGATATGCCAAAAGTGTGAGTGTATACTAGGAATTCAGCATGTATTCTGCTAATCAAACAAGATCACCATAATGGTTATATGAAGGTATTCTTTTAATGATTTGTGTAGTTTGTGACAATGAGATGGTTCATACCAACTTTCAACTATAAGTACTACCTCATTATTTCTGGCTTCCTAGGAGTTGTAGATTTTTATTGGTGAAAAGTCAAGGCCTGGGAGTATTCTCCCATTTCTGATGGGAAAACACAACCTTAATATATAGAATTTATTATTATTTTTTTTTTTTCCTTTTTTGGTGGAACCAGGGATTGAACTCAGGCCCTTGTGCTTGCCAGGCCTTAACATATAGAAAATTGAGTTACTTCTTGGAATATATAATTTACTACATTGTATATTCTCACATTTATCTTAGGTAATGCCTATGTTTTCATTATATTCACTGAATTCTATAAAATAGCTCAGATGAGAGAAGAACTAAATGTAGTTAAAATAGTTTTTGAAAAGACAGGACTTACTTCCACTATCTTATCAACTTCTGAGTATCTTCCTCCTAACAGACCAATCACTTCTGCCATAGAAACATGAGCATGCTAAAAGAAATACGAGACAGACTTAGCCCAAATGCACAAACCCATCTGACAGAAAATCAGAAAAAAACTTGCCATCATAGGGGCCATTTCTGAGTACAGTAGCTACATTCTTCTAAAATAAAGTAACAGAGGAGAGGAGCTAGCTGTAGCTTAGCACACAGACTCAGATTTCAGGTCCACCCTCACTGCTGGCTGGGACACTTCAGACATATAGTCCAGATGCCACTTCTTTCCATTTACAAAACAAGGACATTATTGGATCTCTTTACTCAAGAAAAATGTACTATGGATGCAAAGTAAAAATCCCTCTGGGTCATTCTATAAAAAAGCACTACAAAGGTAACTGTTAGAGGTATTGGTAGTTTAGTGCCAACAAAGAACCTCCATATTACAGGAGCTGTGCTTTGTTTCAGTAATCTAAAAGGCAGCAGACGTGAGATATTAGGAAATGAAAACAGGGTTAATAATGGTAAACAGTCTGCAAAACTCACATTAATTCATCTCTCTAAAATATGGAAACATGCAATTATCTGGCTTTTCTTCAAAAGAAAAGACTTAGTTTTAGATTCCTTGTAAAAGAAGAGAGTTAAGATCCAAAATACACGTCTTCCATACTTTCTCTTATGCCTGCAATAAAAATACACAAGAATAGAAATCAGAATAACTAACACAATAGATTTTCCTTACCAAATCCATTATTAAAAGTGCTTCTGAAGCCACTTTCACCTGAAATGGCTCCTGAAATTAAAAAAAAAAAAAAAAAAGAAAAGAAAAGAAAAAAGGGGAAGCATAAAAATACAGATATCTGTTCTCCCCATTACACACCCATCCCTTTCTCCTCTCCCTAACAAAATTCTGTCAAATTCTCACCAGAGATCAAGGCTCTGAAGAAATAGAGTAAATTTTTTTTTTTAAATTACCGTTCAAATCCCCAGCAGGGAGAAATTCTCTCTAATTTTCCACCTGTGTTCCTCACTGATCCTAAACACACCTTGCACACACAAAGAATATTTCCTGTCCAATGAACATTATATATAGACATTGATACACAAATAGTACCTGTTTTTCCTCACTGAAAATATTACAAGGTATAAGTTGGAAAGGATCAAATGAGCTGAAAATGAAAAAAAAAAAAAAAAAACATTTTTAGTACAATCTCAACAAGGTCAGGAAAAAAACATTTATAAAACCGAAAATGTATACAAAAAAATCTAAACCCAAATTATGTTTCAATGAGAAAAATATCAAACTATGAGAGATTCTTAGGCTGCTCCATATAATCTTCTGAAGAAAGTACTGTTTAAGACTTGACCAAAACCAGGAACTTTGGGAGAAAGTAATTGTCATATTAATTTTCAGAAGATTTAAAAACACTCAATGAAAAGCAATAGTCTCCAGACCTGAAAGAAGTTCACCAGAGTTCCTTAAATCATTTCTGTTCTGCCCCCCACAGAGGTTCATCCATAAGTACTATTTGAATAAATGAATAACAAATAAATGCAGAGACAGAAAGGGGGGGCCTGAGCAAAGCTAGACACAAAAGCATGTATCAATCTGAAACAAACCATGGAAAGGTTTTGACCATTATAGATATTTGAGAAAAACTTTATGAACAATACAAGGTTTTAAAATGTTATGTTCAGAAGAAGAAAAACATCCATGGTCCCAAACAGGACAAGTTAGTGCCGAGAAGACACTTTGCTCTGCTTTGTACTGTGTATATCCCAAGAGCTGGAGCAGTGTCCAAACACAGAGTGCTCAATAAATACTGATGAATGAAGAAGGGCCTTTAAGTTAACTGAATTGAAAAGGAACAAAAGGCTGAGCCAGAAGAAGAGAAACAGAACAGAGCGAGCATACTTCCGAGCACATAAGAACTAAGTTGTGAAGTACTGTCACCACTTCTTGAGGGCTCCACAGATTGAGAAAGTGATTAGAAGGCTAAGGATAGGCAACTACTGGGCTAAAATATGAAAAAGGCAGATTTCAGTAGAATTAGATGAAATCATGGCAAATTTCTAGGAGTTTACTGAACAGTTGATTGGTGAACATTTACCAAGTGAAAAGGTAAATAAAAACATTAATGAGTTCATGCAATGTAAGTAAGTCATAAGCAGATTCATCCGCTAGAAGTTAGCAGGCTGCATACTAAAAATTTTTATCTGCTTTTAAAGATACTTGCTATGATTATACTTCTGCATAAGATGAAAAAATATATATTAAATGCAGGAAAATAAGTTAACTAATGTCTAAGGTCTATATTTATTCCACTTAAATATTTTTTTTTTTGTTTTTGTTTTTTTGCGGAACCAGGGGTCGAACTCAGGCCCTTGCGCTTGCCAGGGAAGCACTTATTCCACTGAGCCATCTCCCCGGCCCCCCACTTAAATATTTTATACGGTGATGAGTAGCAAAAAAGACAAGCGTGGGCCAGAGAGATGGCTCAGTGGAATAAGCGCTTCCCTGGCAAGTGCAAGGGCCTGAGTTCAATCCCTGGTTCTGCAAAAAATAAAAAAAAAAAGACAAGTTTATGGAAAAGTTGATGATGTAACTGTAGAAAAGCTAAAGAGAGAAAGCAGATCTGGGTTAAAATACTACTAACAATCTGGGACGAGTTGAAATTCACAATGAACGTATATCTTATACAAACTTAGAAAATCAAATTTCTAGATATTCTAGATGAGTTCTAGCTTATGGAAAAATTTATTTTTATGTAGTGTATGTTCACAATGACAATATAAATTTAATTTTTATTTGACAGGGGCCATATATAACATAATGAATTATAAAGAATATGAATTCTTTTTTTTTCCTGTATTTTAGGGAAGGGGCTACAGGGTGTTCAGGGTCCACTACTAGATCAGACTCATAGTGATTCTCCTGCTTACAGTCTCCTAAGTGCCGGGATTATAGGTGTGTGCCACCATGCCCAGTCTCAATTGCCATCTCGGTGTGCCCTTGGGGTGGGGCCAGCACAGCAGGCCTGGGAATCAAATTCCCAGCCAATGCACCTGCTTGCAGGTACTTTAAGCTGCTGAGCTCTTTTACAGGCCCTAGGAATATGGATTCTTAAGTCTAACTGCCTGGGCTTAAATCATAGCTCCATCACTAAACTGCATCAGCAAGTTACTAGTTCCTACACCTTTTCCCAGCCTCTTAATTTTCATCTGTAAAACTGGAGTGATAATTACTACAGTGAGATGTTTCAAAGATCAAATGAGCTCATACATGTATAATGCTTAGAACACAGCTGATAGTGTTAGCTATTTGAATTACTACTTAATATATAAGGACCCAAGTCTCACCTAAGAACAAACAACTGGTAAAAAATGCCCTAGTGGTATTTCTATTTTGTTTTAAAAGAGACACTAAGGAACTGCAGTTCTTTCAAAGTGGCAACTGCAGGAAGTGAGACCTAGAAAATCAAGGCATTTTGCTCATTTGCTAACTCTTAACTTAAAAATTACAAACTTCAGTATATATTCTCACACACACACACACACACACACACACACACACACATCCATATTGCCAAATAACTTGCAAATAACTAGCTTGAGGAGAAAGCCAGGAATTTCATAAGGTTACCTGCCCATAATGTCTGGACCACTGGTTACAAACAAAGCCCCTATTAAATATGTCCATGCTCCCTGAACCTGAACTCTAAAACTTTAGCTTAAGGTTTACAAACTTGTATGAGTAAACCTAAAATTTCTAAACTCTAACCATTTACTTTTCATTTTGTTAGATTAAAAAATATTTTACCTCATATGTCCTCTGTGAACATTGTAATGCCACTACTTATATAACATGACAATACCTTTTTGTTGATCTTGACGCTTTTGAAGATTTGGCAGGTTTATTTTCCTCTTCTCTTCTCTTTGCCAACTCCTCAGCAGAAAGATGCTAAAACAAAACAGCAGTTGATGAGTCCACTGATTACCAAGAAGCAAACAGTCCTTTAGAATGATATTTAAAGGCAGGTGAAAACAAGACAGACTAAACTGCTATGATGAGACTAAAGCATATTAGCACAAGTATAGACACCATTAAAAAAGTTTCAAAACACACAGCCATATCAAACTGAAGATATTCTCCTCCTGGCGTGCCCATTTCAATCAGTAGTACCACCAATCACCTGAGTTTTTGGCGCCTGTTTCTAGCTACCAACTCCTACTGGGCTGAATTTTCTCTTAACAACTGAGACACAATGACAGTGCAGTGATAGGAACACTACCTAAGTCTGAGGGCTAAGGGTACAGCTCAGCAATTCAGTGGCCAAAAGCATTTCTAGCATGTGAGGCCCTGAGGGTTCAGTCTGGGAGTGGGCTGGAAGAACCCACAGCACCATACACACTCTGGAGCTAGAAGGACTGGCTCTTCCTTTCCCTAGTTGAAAAACCACAGCTAAATTTTGAAACTTTCATGCTTTAGCTTCCTCATCTTTAAAAACAGGAACAATAATACCATTATGGGAGTGGGGCCACCCAGTGCCCTCCGGACCCTCACTCCAGCCAGCAAGCAGGCTTGGTGTGTGAGTGGAACTTCCTCCATCATACAGGCCTGATGTGGAACCATGAGGCACAACTCCCTGCAGAGAGGCTAGAGGCACGATCTACCCAGCTGCTCCAGGAGCAGCGTATCTTGCCAGTGACACAGGGGGTGCACTTCCAAGGGCTGCAGCAGGCAGAAGTGGAGTACAGCAGCCAGACCCAAGCCACACCCACCTGGACGAGTTTAAACTTGGTAGATCCAGACCTAGTGCTAACATAATAACTCTACCAAAGCTCTACACCACAGGTCAGAAGATAGTGCTATACAAAATGACAAAAAGGAGCAAAATGCATTCTCAGGCTCTGACCCCACGAAGAACAAATGCAGGTGACAACAGCATAGAAGAAACTGGAAATCACACACCTGAAATCTCTGAAATAATAGCATCTGAAGTATAGAAAAAAATGTAGGAAGGTATAGAGGAAATCAGAACAGAAATAATTTCTTTTTTTTTTTTTTTGTGGTACCAGGGATTGAACTCAGGACCCCATACTGAAATAATTTCTGAAGTAAAAAAAGAAATGATAACTATAATGAAAGAAGTACTAAGTGCTTCTAAAAAAGACACTAATAAAAAAAAATAGAGAATAGAAAACGATGGAATCCTTGAATGAGCAATATAGGAAAAAAATACAATGTATGAAGCAGGATCAAAGTGATATATATACAGGCCTGGCAA